AATCCAGTTGGCAGCCAGTAACAAGCAGTGTTCCACAGGGCTCAGTACAAGGGCCACTCCTGGTCAATATCTTCATCAGTGATCTGGACGAGGAGATAGAGTACACCCTTAGTAAGTTTGGAGACAATACCAAGATGGATGGGATTGTTGATCTGATTGAGAGTAGTTGACAGGCTCTGCAGAGGGATCTGGACAGGCGAATCATAGATAAGCTCAAGGGTAGTAAGGCTTTTCAGAGAGATCTGGACTGGCTGGATTGATGGCTCTGAGGTTCAACAAGGCCAAGTGTCGGGTCCTGCACTGGGGCCACAACAACCCCATGCAGGGCTAGACTTGGGGAGGAGTGGCTGGAAAGGTGGTCAGTGGAAAAGGACTTGGGGGAGATTGACAGTCAACTGAACATGAGCCAGCAGTTTGGCCAGGTGGCCAAAAAGGCCAAGGGCATCCTGGCCTGTATCAGGAACAGTGTGGCCAGGGCAGTGATTGTCCCCCTGCACTCAGCACCTGTAAGGCCATGTCGTGAGTACTGTGTTCAGTTTGGGGCCACTCACTACAAGAAAGACATCGAGGTGCTGGAGCAGGTCCAGAAAATGGCAACAGAGCCAGTGAAGGCCCTAAAGTACAAGTCTTATAAGCAGCGTCTGAGGGAACCAGGGCTATTTAGTCTGAAGAAGAGGAGGCTGAGGGGGGACCTTATTGTGCTCAGCAAATACCTGAAAGGAATGGCTTCCAGTTGCACCAGGGTAGTTTTAGGTTGGGTATTAGGAAAAATTTCTTCGCAGAAAGGGTTATCAAGCTCTGGAACAGGCTGCCCAGGGAAGCAGTTGAATTGCCATCCCTAGATGTGTTTCAAAGTCATGTAGATGGGGGGCATGATTTAGCAGTGAACTTGGCAGAGTTAGGTTAATGGTTGGACTTAATGGTCTTGAAGGTCTTTTCCAACCTAAGTGATTCTTGTGACTCTATATCTATAATAACGTAAGCTCATATGCCCTAAACACATGGAATTGCCCTCTGTTCAAAAATAATTGCTCTGTTTTGCAATTATTCTGGATTAAAGCTCCATTTAATATGCATTACTGCCCACTTGCAGACCCAGTATTGGTCATTTTACTCCATATGCACTTAGGAAAAGGCTTAGGCCCATGGTATTACCATAGCAAACCCATTTAATTCAGCCTGGTGAAGTTCAAACAACAGTATGTGTTCTGCTACAGTAAGGACATGTAATCTATTGCTGTATTTTCACAAAAGAAGCATTTGAGTTATGGCTGCAGGAAGCAGATTTAGAAAGGTATTTATGTACTGAAAGGTAGGACTTTTTTATCAAGTTTAGATGATTAATCTTCCCTGGCAATGATGCGATACTTCAACATAGAACACTCTGTTCTGTTCTCGTCTGCATCTTGCAACAATTAAATATATTTACAAGTATGCCCCCAGGTTCCCAGTGTAGCTATATAATAACTCTGTGGCACATTCATGTTGCACAAAAATTCAATGAGATGCATCCAGCTGTATAAAACTTGATGTCAGACTAGACTGGCAGTGTTCTGAGCAACTGAAAGACCATATACGAAAAAGCACTAGGTAATCTTAGCTGTCAAGAAAAGCTACCATCTCCAACCTAGTACCCTGCTGGTTTCCATTTTTTACTATATAACAGAATAATAAACTATATGTGGATTTCATTTTAATGCCTTGGAGCTCTGATAGAGTAGACTATAGAATGACCAGACGAGTTCATTAGGACTAGAGAGACTTCACTAGCTGTTAACTGTGGTTTAGCACTCCAGTAAGCAACAGTATTCTAAAGTCTTTGTCTGGTACCCTTTCTCATCCACAACTATCTTTTTATTTGTGATTTCCAGACAAAAACCAGGTTGGTTTTTCCCTTCTTCCTCCTCTTATTTGATAGTCTAGAGTATAAGCATTTCTACAGCCTGAAAAACCTTGTTCACCAGCTCACACTGTTTTCCTAGCACAAGTGCAGTTTTTATGGGTTTTGGTGGTATGCCTGCAGGGGCACCTAGGTGGATTGAGCAGACTTCTGCAATCAAAGTGTTATTCGTGGAAAGTGATGTTCATATGACAAGCATTAATTGTACAGGATCAAGACTTTTAAATATTTTCATTATATTTAATTTAGTCTTTGCAGTGATGTTGCTTGGAGTTTGTTCCTTTTTGTATCTGTATGAATTCCTAGCTGCCTTTTTTTTTTTTTTTTTAGTAGTTTGGATATTCCTGTTGCCAAGCATAGGGTATCTTGCCTTTCTTGCATTCGGTTAGGGTAAATGAGTAAAGCAAGTGCTGAAAGAGCTGATTTCAGCCTCTCTGTCAAGTCTTGGATTTTGTACTCGTCTATTTATGAAACCATTCAGAGACTGACCAAATTTTGTCTTAAAGCTGTTCTTGTTTGTCTTGAAATCATAGTATTGAACTTTACTCTTGCATTTATATGCCTAGTTTCCATCAAAAATTAATCCACAGACAGTTTTTATAATTTTTTTTTTTCTTCTGGCAGCACTTTGCTGCTGACATTTTCCTCTTCCAGTTTGAATCTGTGTCTTGCACACAACTCCGTACCATTTTCCAGAAATCCCCAAAGGGCCTGTACCCTGTGTTCCTATTTAGCCATCAGCATGTAAGCTGCTTTAGATTAAGGTGGGGTAAAATATATCACATCATACCACAGGCAGACAAACAGAAAATGACTTTAAGGTAAACAGGCCCAGAGTGGCTTCCCAATTCTGGACTGTACTAGCAAGAAAGGAGATACCATAACTGCAGTTAGTCTGCAGAAGAGACTAATGCTGAAAATGCTATTTCATAAATAAGGCTGAGCCAATCAACATTTGCTGGCACCAGAAAGCGTGTATAGTCCTGTGTCCTCCCCACTGCTCTGTCATGTTTCTGCTCTCTCTGTTGTGCTGTCTTTAGTATCTGTCTGACTCCCTTGCATACCAGTTTAGGTCACCAAACTAAAGTGAAGTTATTTTGCTGGGTTGAACTCTAAACTTACATGAGGTCGGGGTGATCCTTCCTTTGTCAGGAAGCTGTAAGACTGTCTTACCTTGGAGGGGTACCAGAAGTTGTAGCATGAGTTTACCCTCAGTGTTTACACAAATGGGATATGTCTGTTGAAAACAGTAATTTCCTAAAAGGAGAAGGGAATTTGCTGGCAGTATTGTCTCACAGGTGTTTCTGTTACACTGGTTAATGGTGATAGGGACATTTATCTGCATTTATGACTCTTGTATTAGAAGGCCAATGGTTGAGTAAAGCAGCTTTACAGTAAAACTAGCTGCAAGAAGGAAGTAACTAAAAATTGCTCAGTAATAACTGGGTTTGGTTTATTTTTGTTTTTGTTTTCAGTGAAGGGAGCAATCTCACCCCTGCTCATCATTACCCTGACTTCAGATTTAAGACGTATGCACCTCTTGCCTTCCGCTATTTCAGAGAACTTTTTGGTATCAAGCCTGATGATTACTTGGTAAGAGCTTGCAGTTCTCCTTTGAGTTACAAATTATTATAATGTATACTAGTTTCATAGTGACAGAAGAGGATGCTTTAATGGTGCCCAGACGGGTAGTAATTTGTGTGTGGTGTATAACTAGTGAGTATTTTTAGTGTTCTACAAAAATTTTAATTCCTCATCTTTGAGATGATTCCTGTAGAAACCTGCCTTGTTAACTAACTAGACTGACTATTACTGCTCATTCAGGTCATTGCTGCTAGAGAAGTTATAATCAGTACTTTTGCAGCTTCTACAGATTCAGCTCTAAGAAAGTGCTCTTAAGTGCTCTTAAAGTTATTTGCATTATTTCCCTCACTAAATAAGTGTTTTTCTGCAGATGGTCCCATCAAGCCTAGAGAAAAGTGGGAGGAAGGCTAGAAAAGAAGCATTTTAGACTATCTGCTTTGTTCTCTGTATTTTATAGTTGTAAGACTTACTCCTCAGTATTCAACTGTTTGCATGAGAAAGAAGTGATGCATTTGCTGCTGTCACAAAAGCAGTCTTTACTTAGTAGAACCACTTTGTGCACTGGCAGGGACAAGGATCCACTACTGTACTTCTCCTGTGGTTCTTCTTTTAGGAGGGTCATGTAAAAGCACAGAGCCAAACTGGTTTCTAGATGCTTCCCTCGTTTGTCCCTTCCAATTCCCTTTTTTTGTTTGATCCCTTCCACTTTGTCTCATGCTGGTCTACTGAATAAATCAGAGTCCCAGTAAAAATTAGGTGCTTTATGTATCAGAGCTTTGTTGTTAACATTTTGAATGAGTTTTTAGATCTTTTTGTTCTGTTATTGATAACTGTTTCTTTAAAATGAAAAGAATTTGAAAGAGCTTGACTGAATAAAAAAGAAAAATTGATTAAATGGTGCCAAAATGTTACTTAATGTATTACTTTACTGAATTCCATTGTGTTCAAATGTGTTATAAGAGTTTTTTCCTTCTTGAACAATGAGCCTAAAAGCAAAACATAGCTGGATTTGCTTGTATTTAGGTTGAATATGTGTGTCTGATATTAATTTTTTAGTATTATGTATGATTTTTGTATTACTAGCCCTTATGACAGTAGTTATATAGAAAATCAGATCATTCCTTTTTTAGTTATAAATAGCAGGAAAGCGCAGTTGGGTTTGAGTTTTATAAATCATAGAATCGTTTGGATTGGAAGACATCTTAAAGATCATCTAGTTCCAACCACCCTGCCATGGGCAGGAACACCTGCCACTAAATCAGATTGCTCAAAGCCCCATCCAGCCTGGCCTTGAACACTTCCAGGGACATCCACAGCTACTCTGGGTAACCTGTCCCAGTTCCACCCTCACAGGGAAGAACTTCTTCCTTGTCCTGTCACTACAAGCCTTTGTGAAACGTCCCTCTCCAGCTTTCCTGTAGGCCCTCTTTAGGTACTGGAACGCTGCTATAATGTCTCCCCAAGGCCTTCTTTTCTGAAGGCTGAACAATCCCAACTCTCTCAGCCTGTCCTTATAGGAGGAGGTGCTCCAACCCATTGATCATCTTCATGGCCCTCCTCTGGACCTGCTCAAACAGGTTCATGTCTTTCTTATACTGAGGACCTTAGAGCTGAATGCAATTCTCTAGATGGGGTCTCATGAGAGTGCTGTAGAGTGGCAGAATTGCCTCCCTCAACCTACTGACCACCTTTCTTTTGATACAGCCCAGGATGCTACTGGCTTTCTGGGCTGTGGGCATACACTGCTGGCTCATGTCCAGATTTCCATCCACCAGTAGCCCCAAGGTCCTTCTGGGGCTGCTCTCTGCCACATGACCCACCAGCCTATATTTGTGCTAGAGGTTTCCCTGACCCATGTGCAGGATCTCGCACTTGGACTTGTTGAACTTAATGTGTTTGTCACAGGCCCACTTCTCCAGCCTGTCAAGGTACCTCTGAATGGCATCCTTTCCCTCCAGCATGTCAACTGCACCACTCAGCTTGGTGTCAAGGGTCCATTTGATCCCAGTCTGTGTTGTTGACAAAGATGTTAAACATCACTGGCCCCAGTATGGACCCCTGAGAAACACCACTTGTACCTGGTCTCCACCTGGACATTGAGCCATTGATCACAACTCTTTGAGTGTTGCCATCCAGCCAATTCCTTATCCATTCAGTGGTCCATCCATCAAATCCATGGCTCTTCAATTTAGAGACAAGGATGTCATGCAGGGCAGTGGTGTCATTATGTAATATGTTTTTTATCTATCTCTTCTCATGGACTTGGCAAAAGACAAAAGTATGCAGGCTGTGTTGCCATTGCCTCGCAATGTTAGAATCCATTTCTTTTGTTTCTGCTTCTAAATGGGCATCACTTTGCAATCAGAGCAAGTTGCAGTCCCTTGCCAGAGTTGTACTATGATCATAAAAAAAACCCAAAACTGTTTTTAGGACCCTTTTCCCAATTGGATGTGACAAAGACATCTGGTTAAGAGTTGACTCCCAATAGCACGTGTCAGGGTTCTGGCTGAATGGTCCCTCTTGGTTCTGTGAAATCTGGACCTGTCATGTAGTGGTGGTTATTCAGATTCATGATCTAAAACACTTTACTGTAACAGTGTGCCAACTGATTGTCCAACTGTGGCTGAAGGAGAAGGGAAGTGTGGTAAAAAGAGGAGAAATTGCAGCAACCATACATGAGTTTACACTGTTAACTTGCAGTGACAAAGCCCAAAGATTTATAGTTTTACCATTTCCAGGGAGGTTGAGTGGTAATGCATTGTAGGAGTCAGACCAGGTAACAAGGATAAATACATTTGAACAACTGGTAGAATTAAATTATCAGTGGAAACCTCATGGAGTACTGGCATTTTGCAGGAAAACTTCTTGACCATAAAGTACTTAATTGTCAGGGGCTTGGAGATTTTCTTACTTTGCAGTTTTGAGTGTCATAAGTGTCCAGTCACAATTAGCTTGGCCCTTTGTATAGCAGCACTTGGTGGATAGACTTATTTTACAGGAATGAACTCAACTGTGAAATGACCAATTCACCATGTAGGTTAATATACTTGTGCTTATGCTATACTGTTTTACTGAGCTTTAATGTTTAGGATAATTGGTTTCAAATGCCTACAACAATGACAATTACTCATGAAGCTTTATATATTTTGGCAAGAAAAACACAGGGGTTGCAATACAGCTGCTGATTTGCTCTGAAGGTCTGTGGTGTTACAGATGAGAATTTCTGTTCTATCTGGAGACAGTCGCAACTGTAGGATTAATAAGAAGGGTCTCTCATATTAATTGGAACTGAGTGAATTGGAGAAGCAGTGTGAGAAATAAGATAGCATGGGAAAAGCCTCAGCTTGACCCTGGATAAGAAAATGCTTTAAGGCAGTGGTTTGAGTCCATAGGAAACATGCTTCTTTAGTTCAAGTTCTCACAAACATAAGAAGATGACATACTGAAGACAAATTGCACTCTTAAGAATTAATTCCCTGGTGCTTACAGTACTCAAAATTCACATCCTGTATAATTTTATTTCTTTCAGTGATTAAAGCATTAAAATATTGAACTGTATAGTTAATCTCCAAGTGTGTGAAAATGTTGATATGTAAAAAAGGAAAAGAGTGTGTGAATGAAAGTTTAATGGTATTTTGAACAAACTCCTGAGTTTAATATAAACAGATTTTTCTCTGTTTTTGAGCTTATTGTGTTCTTTCCAGTCTGAATGAAACACGATATATGAGTTAATGGGGATTTAACGAAGAGCATTAGCCTCTTTGTGAGATCTGGTTCCAGTAGTAAGGAATACTTGTTAGTTTTTTTTTCCTTCTTAATGTGCCAGTAATTATTTCTGCATCCCTATGTAAGAGAAAGTGCTTGTCTAAGCATCCAAAATAATGGTCCTCCCAAACTCTTATTTTTCCTACGTATTGGTATTTAGTTCTGTTTCAAGCAGTTTGAAGTCAGAAAACTACATTAACAGTTATATTGATATTAATATTCTCATTGTTTCAATCCCAATTTCACAGAAGAGGACTTGCCTATTTGTCTGTAACAAGAAACCTCTGTTCCCAATGTGTTTGTCTAACGTCTTCCTGTGCCTGCTTCGTAAATGTCTGTGAAAAGCAGACAATTGCAGAGAAAATGTCATCTTAAGGCTTCTGACTCAGGAACTTGCAGTGCTGACTGTGTGGGAATACACTGCACCTCAGCCACTGGCTTCGCTCCAGGGAAAGTTCAGCTGGTGCAGTGGGATGTGAAGAGGGACTGCACGTTCAGCTGCCAGCTGCTCTGCCGTGGCCGTGCAGCGTGTCCTGGGCAGAGCGGTGTGTAACAGCTGCCCTGCCACATCTCAGCCAAGTCAGTGTGACCCAGTTCGTTTTAGCAGAGCTGCTGTAGTTGAGGACCAAAGAATACTCTTTATGATTATTCTGTACCTATTTGAACCTGCAGTTCTCTGTATTAACCTTGTGTTTGAGCAACACGTGCATTGCCAGTGAAAACCAACTTCTGTCTCTTACAGTACTCAATCTGCAGTGAGCCTTTAATTGAATTATCCAACCCGGGTGCCAGTGGGTCCTTATTTTTTGTAACTAGTGATGACGAGTTCATCATCAAAACAGTTCAACACAAAGAGGCTGAGTTTCTTCAGAAGCTCTTGCCAGGTTATTATATGGTAAGTAACCGAAGACTGTATTTTCTTGTATCGTTTCACACTTCTGAAGATTCAGTTTAATTTGTTGTCTTAATCTTGTGACTGAGTATCATTAAGTCATCATTGAGAGCTGAAGTAGGTTTTCCCCTTTTTGCTTTTTCATGGCAAAAACTGAGAGTAATTGTGTTCAGAAGGAGGATTTTTGCTCTCATCTCTCTTATCCTCTCCTAGTTATTTTTTTTTTTCCTGTCGTGGAATTTTGATTATTTCACACTCTTCTGATGGTCAGTTGTGGTTCTGTTACGACCTCACACTCCTGTGGAGACAAGTTGGTCACTTGGCACTAACGCTCAATGTGAAAAGCCTCATGGAGACAGGGCTTCTGCTTTTCAGAATCCAAGTCGGAGTAATGAGAACTACATTTGACCCAAGCCCCTTCCAACAGGTGGAATGCAAAGGTTATTCAGGTCAGAATAAATAAATTAAATCTTCAGTTTTCTTTTACATTTGGCCTAGTCTGCTGACTCATGGGATATAAGAAAGAGAAACCTTGCATAAATGCAGTTACTGCTCTGCTCTTGGCGTGTCTAAGTTACTGGCAGTGTTTATGCTAGCTCTCTGAAATGCAGACCAACAGGGAAAATCAGCTGTTCCAAGAAACTACACTGAATAAGAAAACATTCACAGTTTTCTTGATGTTTGTTAATGTCCTTTGGTATTAAAGAAAACTTTCTTAAGCATAGAATTTTATTGAAAATAAACATGTTTAACAAGCTCTCTTCTCTTTTAGAATCTTAACCAGAATCCAAGGACTCTTCTACCCAAATTTTATGGGCTGTACTGTGTTCAGTCAGGAGGCATTAATATTAGAATTGTTGTGATGAACAATGTTTTGCCACGAGCCTTGAAAATGCATTTCACGTATGACTTGAAAGGCTCCACGTACAAACGGAGAGCATCAAGAAAAGAGAGAGAGAAGCCCAACCCCACATTCAAAGACTTGGATTTCTTGCAAGATATGCACGAAGGGTTATATTTTGACTCGGAAACACACAGTGCACTAATGAAAACACTACAGCGGGATTGTCGAGTGAGTAAAAATTTAGTATTTAAACTTCTGTGTCCGCATCCACTCTAGATTTACCTCAGCAAAACAAAGATCTGGATGTGGCTCTGTGTGTTGTTTAACCTCCACTTCTTTTCCATGCAGTTTAATTTGGAAAACTATGGATGCCAAAGCCTTGATGAAGCCTCTATTTTAGTTAAACTGTTGGGATCTGAGAATCACAGAGTGGAACACCCCAAGCTGGGAGCAATCCATGAGAGTCCAACTCCTGACTCTATACAGGGCAATCTAAAAGTTAAACCTTAGATATATAGGAGTGTTGTCCAAATAATTCTTGAACACAAAACAGGCTTAGGGGCATGACCTCTTCCCTGATGAAATTGTTAAGGGTTTGACCACTGTCTCAATGAAGAACTTTTTCCTAATGTCCAATCTGAATTTCCCCGATGCAGCTTTAAGCCACTCCCTCACACTATCACCAGGCACCAAAGGTCAGCACCACCATTTCTGCTCCCCTTCCTGGGGAAGTTATAGACAGCAATGAGGTCACCCTTCAGTCCTCCTCTCTGTGCTGAACAAACACAGTGTCCTCATCCACTCCTCAGAAGTTATGCCCTCTAGTCCTTTCACCATCTTTGTTGCCATCCTTTGGATGCACTTTAATATTTTTTTATCCTTATTATACTGTGGAGCCCAAAACTGCAGACAGTACTTGAGGTGAGTATAGTGGGACAATCACTTCTTTCAGCCAGTTGACTATACTATGTTTAACACAGCCCAGAGTACAACTGGCCATTTTGGCCACCAGGCACATTGCCAACTCATTGATCTTACTATCGGCATAACCCCCAGATCCGTTTCTGCAGGGTTGTCGCCCTGTTTGTCTGTACATCCAGGATTATACTGATCCATTTGTGAAAAGACAGGTTAATGTAGGAAAGCAGTCCAGTAGAGTTGTTTGGGTTTTTTTGGTCTTGTTCTTGCTTTCCACTGATTTGTAGATTTTAATGATTTTTTTTTTCCTGAGGCGCGATTAGCCCTGTGTTACATATGATAAACTGCATGCAGAGCTGCGAGCTCAGTGCTGCTGTGGTAAGTCTGCCTCTTTGTAAGTTAAAAAGATAGGAAACTGAATGGGGGAGGCACATCTGGTGGCAGCAATCATGCTTCTGGAGCAAAGCAATTCCCTCCTAAGTTGAAAGGTAGCACTTAATGTCCACACGATGTTCTCAAGGCAGGAGAAGGATATCTGCCATTGTCCTTGGAAGACGTTGTCCTTTTACTGTCCTTGTGGACTGGGAGAATTGTTGTAAAATGGATTTTTTTTCTGTAGCAAAGATAAGAAAATGTAAAATGGGAAAAAAGGGAGTTATCCAGCTCTCGGAGTTTTACAAGATTCACAGAGCTTGTGGAAAGAAAAGATTGTTTTTTTCCGAGGGGAATCCTAAGACTTGCATCATAAAACAGCAAGAATGGGTAGACTGAACTCATCACATAGAGTGATCCTGAATCACACAGAGGCATCCTGAATATCAGAGTTTGTTGTTTAGTGCCACCTGTGTGGTGCAAGATGGAAAGCATTGTTTTTGCACATGAATAGTACTTTTTGTTTAATTATCACAGAAGTCTGCAGTGCCTTGTGCTTGGTTTGTAAAGCTGGGTGACCTAATGTTCAGCTGCATATTCAGTGTGAGACATTTCTCTAACACTGCACACTGTTCTTTCTGTAGCCTCTTACAGTGAGTGTTTCCTGAGCTCCTGCCATGTGTCATAATGCAGAAAGCATCAGTATGTCACATCTGGGCATCTGGATGCCCTTTTGTGCATCCCCCCACTGGTTGAAGGTTGCTTACCCAGTCAGAGCCTGGGGGGATCTGTTGTTTAGAAAATAATAAACAGAAGCTAAACATAGGAACTGGACTGAAAAGTAAAAACAAGAATAAGTCATTTGATACTTATGTATAAAGGGGACTTTCACTGGTTCTTTGAGAAGTGTGGGGAAATTCTTACAGCCTGTTATTGGGTGCTGAACCAAACATAAGGTTTTTGAGTGTGCAGTCTTAGATTAACAGCTGTAAAGTTAGTCTGGCGTTCCAAAAGGCCCAGTCAAATCTTGATATTATTAAAAGAAAATAAGAAAACTATCTTTAAATAATCAGTGTGTATTCATAAAGACATACACATACACTATATATGTCTGTATATGTCTCTGTAGATATATATACACGCACACTGGGTTTTATATATATAAAAAAATAAACTTTTTTTTTTCTGTTCAAATAAATCTTACTCTCTGTTGTAAAACAAACAGAGCAAACAGTTATCTTTCACATAGCTGAATGTGCTTGACAAACAAAGTTGGATCTGACTACCTGCCTTGTACTGCTGTATTCAGAAAGAACATAGATACTTAATCCATTTTGTGAGAAGGACATCAGTTTTATTACTGCTTTTTTCTGTCCATATGGTAATTTGGGTAATTATTTCACATGTGTGATAAAGGACCTAGATTTTTAGGGCTTCAAAACTTGTAATTTCTTTTTCCTTTTATGCCAAAGTGGTAAAGTTCATGTAGACACTGGAATTAAAAATCCATTACAGAAAGGAAATTTTTGATCTTGCCAATATTTCAGGACTAAGAAATTACCTTTCATGTTGCTTAAATCTGGATAATTTTTTTGTTGTTCGTATTTGCAGTCAGAATCAGTAAACAATGGGGTTTTTTCCTGCTTCTTTAACATAAACATCCCTGACTGGTAGCCCCTTTCCTCCTTAAGCTCTGTCACTAAGTGCAGAGGCCTGGCAGAACTTGCTGGTTGTAGTAAAGAGGGCGATGGGGACCTGCTGTGATCTGTCTGCTGTCATTGTATCACCTGCTGCATTCATCAATGGCTCCACATTTTCCTTGGTCAGCCTTTTGCTGCTAATAAAGTGGTAGAAGCTCTTCTTTGTGCCCTTGAGATCCCTTGCAAACCTCAACTCTTGCCTGAGCTTTGGCTTCCTTGAAAACAATGGCCATGCATAGATGCTTAGGCAGTGTTTCTCAGCTCCTCCTTTGTAGCCTGTCTGTCCCCTCCCATCCTGCGTGCTGCATTCCCATCCAAGATGCGCCATGGCTTCCTCGCGTGGCTGAGTTGCCTCCTGGTAAATCTCCTCAGCGGACCCAGAACAGAGCTCCCTCCCCAGAGAAAGGTGTCGCTGAGCACAGCAGTGGTGGACTGCTGCTGGAGTGTCAGTTCGTGACTGTCACACCTCCCTGCAGGTCTGATAAGGAGATGTGTGGTCTGTCTGGTTAGAGGAGCTTATTGGCTTGTGGCCATCTGGCCTGGGCTGGTGCCTCCAGTGGCCTCTCCAGATAGAGAGCATTCTCCAGCTCCTGTATCCCCTGCTTGTTCTGCTCACACTCAAGGTGACAGCATCTGAAAGCTCTGCTCACAGGCAGTTTTGCACTTTTTGGACCTTAGCTAAACCAAGGAGTGTAACACTGCAGTGTTCCTAAAGAGTATGTAGTAGATGCAGTGCACACAACTGAAAATTTGAACTAGCTTTCAGTTTCTAGGCTATTGCTGAAACTTATTATAGCTATTCTGTCCCTGGCAGCAGGCACTATCATAGTTACTGGAGTGGGTGGCAGCAGGAGGGAGGGAGACAGGGGCCACATTACAGGCAAACTATGCTAAAAATAAATAGTATCACTTGCCTGAATAGCTTTTCTAAAAATCTTTCCTTTGAAGTCTCACTTCAGAATGCTTTAATTTATAAGGTCATCATGCTGGTATCTTGTACAATGGTAAAAAGTGTGGGTATTGGAAGGTAGCTTCAATAGCTGTGATTTATTTTTAGTAATCCTGCTGTTAGCTGCTCTGATCATTGCATAAAGTTATGCGTTACTAAAGAATAGAGCAGACTTTCCAATTTCCAAATAAAATTAGCCTTATAAATACTAAAAGAAACTGTTCTGCTCATGAATGAGTCCAAAAAGCTTTAGGGGACATAAGCAAGTACTAAGTAAAACCAAAGTCATTAAAGACAATGTAAAGTATGTTTAGAGATGTCTTGTCTTTTCTTCAAGGTGCAGATAATCAAGTTCCACACCAAACTCAGCTGCTGTTGTGTTTCATTATAAACAACTAATCCTGCAGAATTTATTTTGTGGGCGGGGCGGAGGGGAATTTTTATGTGGCACAAAGGATAAGCTGTGGCACTGAGTGAAGTGTTAGGTACAGGTAACATTAGCACAACTCTATATGAGAAAGGATAGGAGTAAATTAGAAGTATTTTATTATTCATTGTTGATATGGAAAATATGGAATTTAAATAAAGCTAGGCATCCATTATTACTTCTTTGATGTTTACTGGAGCTCTTCAGCCATTTAATAAATACAACTTAACTCTTTTCTGGGCAAAAAGCACAGAGAAGACACCAAGGGCATGTCCCACCTGACAGCCTACATCAATGGACAACAGAAGAGCTATAGATGTCATCTATCTGGACTTCTGCAAGGCCTTTAACACGGTCCCCCACAACATCCTTCTCTCTGTATTGGAGTGATACAGATTTGGTGGGTGGACTATTTGGTGAATGAGGAACTGGTTGGATGGTTACATCCAGAGGGTAGTCGTCAACAGGTCAATATCCAGATGGAGACAAGTGACAAGTGGTGTCCCTCAGGGGTCTGTACTGGGACTAGTGCTGTTTAATATCTTCATCAATGACAGACACAGTGGGATCGAGTGAACCGTCATCAAGTTTGAAAGGTATAACATGCTGACTTGTGTGGTTGACATGCCAGAAGGACAAGATGCCATCCAGAGGGACCTGGACAAGCTTGAGAAGTGGGCCTGTGTGAACCTCAGGAGATTCAAGGCCAAATGCAGTGTCCTGCATCTGGGTCAGGGCAACCCGTAGTATCAGTACAGGCTGGCTAATGACATGACTGAGAGCAGCCCTGCAGAGAAAGACGTGGAGGTACTGATGGAGAAAAGCTGGACGTGAGGTGGCAGTGTGTGCCCACAGCCCAGAA